AACATACACACACTATGTGATGAAAAGTGTCTATACGCCTGTGCCAATAACAACTATGCTGCTATTCAGAAGTCTAAAACAGACCATACCATTGTATTCTAATACTATACTAAGAATACTATACTAGTATTCTTAAGGTCAGCTCCACCCACACGTGATATTTTGATTTTGTGCCACGGCTGGCAATTTGCGTCACATGCAGTCTAATCCTATTTTAGTGATTCCAGTAATGGGATATCCTCAGCAGAATCCCCTTTCTCACACCTCTCTGATGAATTCTCCTTTATCAGAAATTTGCAGACTAAACAAAAATGAAAAATAAATATAAAATAAAGTAAAAAAGCAACTTACATTATGGTCTTCTTAATAGGAGAGAGACACAAATTAGAGCAGGAAATCTCACCATTGGTGTTTTTGGAAGGCATAAGAAGCTGGTGCGTGATTCAACCTGCCGCCGTCATCCCAGAATTGAAATGTGGTTTTTGCAGTTCATGATTTACTACTCACTTCTGTCACTCTGGTTTTTAAATGATTGTGAGGTAGGAAAGACAGAAGGTATAACACTTGCCAGGCATCACCAGAGCAATATTTATAGTCATTAAACAAACATAAAAAGAAAATATAGCTAAAAAAAAAAAAAAAAAAACGGTCAAGGGCACAATGCATATAATAAATAATAGGGAAGCCAAAGGAAACTCTGTAGGATTCCTATGTATAATATAATAGCCAAGATGGCCCAAACAATTTCCATTCCAATGGGATGGGATCGCTGTGTTTGTGTGTGGTAATAGACTGTAGTAGCAGTGAGTGTTGCTGTGTTCCTGCAGTGTGGACAGATTCCTGTCTGCTGCCGAAATAAAAAGGAGACAGGCTGTTTCTCAGCCATTCAGATTCAGGATACTTTTTTAATCTCAAAAGGGGTAAATCATTTCATCCAGTCAACTGATGTGTATTTCTTTATAAAAATTGCAGATTCCTGGTTCTAGTATAACTCAGTCGATATCGTCTGAACATTCCTTTTGATTTTTGTGAATTTTTTACAAATTTTTTATAAATTTAAAACCCAAGTGCATCCAAGATTACAAACAGAAAAATCAGCACAAGGGACATAACTTACAGTCAAGTAGAATGTGTCCCTTGTGTCGATTCCTCTCAGTATTAGTATTATTATTAGTGAAAATCTTTACTCTGTCCTGTCCCCCCCAACCCTGCAGCAATAAACTTCCCAGGGGGCGGGGGTTAGTACAACTAATAGGCAGTCACAGGCCCTCATCAAAAGAGCCCAACTATGCCCGCCCTTTCCACTCAGCTCCTCCATTCAAGGAAACCATACTATAGGTTCTATGAATGGAACACAATCTATGAATCCTCCCATTATCCAAAAGCCTATGTATTTTACATGCATTTCAAAATAATACACGCACGCACGCACGCGCACGCACAGTGATTGAACCATGCTTTTGGCATGTCTCTTGAGACAAGTTCTGTCAACAATGTAACACGATAATTAAAACTGACAGTTAACATATACATTGCAACTTTTATTAACGAAATAAAAATATTTAATCTGAGAAAACCTTTTATAGCAAATACATTCTTATCTTCAAAAACATTACTAGCATTTATAATGACAATTAACTATAACCAACATTTCAAAATTTTATTGTAAAAACACAATGAAGTAAACAGAATATAAATCATGAAATGCCCATTAACGCTTCAGCTTTCAGTATGTATTTATTAATTTGGATCAACCCAAGATGCAGGCAGTTGTAGTTAAAGGTAATCTCTGATGGATTTTAACAAGTTGGACTGTTCATAGTGACAGCTTGCTTCAGAATAAATTATAAATGCAACTGCAAATCTTACAATATTAAGCGGCAATTACCTTGTTGATAATAAAAGGGGTAATTGCCATCGTGAGGTTTAATCCAGTAGTAGAAAATATTAAATTCCTTCATGTGGTTTAGCCTTTAGGATGTTGAATTAAAAAAAAAGCAGCTGTGGCTGCAAAACTCACCTCTTCTCTGGCACTATCCCCCACAGTAATTCCTTTCCACACCTAGATGCCCTCAGTCCTCTAGGTTGAATGACACCCAGCAAGAACATCATGAGAGGTGGTAAGAGCATCAGTATGTTGATTCCTCATTGTTCAGTCACAGGCTGGTCTGGGTTCTGGTCAAGCTGCTTTGCTCAACTGCAGTTTAGTCTGCAAAGAGTACAGGACCTGGATGTACTGTCTAGCAAGGTTTCTTGGATTACAAGACTAGTTGAACAGAATTGGAAATTTTTAGTAAGCTTCCCATTCCTATATTTCACATGTCTGTTAATCTTGGAGTTCAATTTAGTAATCTTTCCTTAGAAGCGTCATCTCCACTCCAAATTCAAGACCTGTAATATTCTATTAAATAAGTACTTTAGTATATCTGAGCAGGGCTGGCTAAGGGATAGGCAGAAGCGGCAACTACCTTGGGCGTTTTAGCAGGAAGTGGGGCACTCAAAGGACAGGATCTGCAACCTAGGCTGCTGGAATAGTTTACAGCTCATTCGATTGGAAGCACATTTTTGTTTGTACGCCTTGGATGCTAAAGGGACTTGTCCCACCATTGTAGATATATCTTGGATTGCTTTTCTGAATCATCTGCTTCATACGTCAGATGCCAACAGCCAAAACATCATCAGAAAAATAGAGGATTACTGCACGTGCAAGGTCAGAGCATCAAAATTCCAAGTCCACCTTAACTTCTAGATACAGCTACAAAATGAGAAAAAAAAACACAATTATAAACTGTAAATGTAAGTGACAAGTTATAATTGATTATGAAATGATGAGATCATCCAGCTATTACTGAATTTTCTGAGCAAACCATGGATAGTTTTTAAAAACACAAGATTTAACCCCTTCCCGCCGACGGAAGTGGGCCTTTATAGGTGGGGCCACATATACGCATATCTGTATTCGTGCTGAAATATGCCGCATAGTGTGCTTCCAACACACTCACTTTCTCTCTGAATGAAGGAAGGGAGAGACACATTGCTACTCTCTTTCCTTGTATTGACAAAGGTGTAAATAAACAAAAAAGTGTAAAAATAAATAAAAAAGAATAAAAGAAAGAAAAAATAGCTAGATGAAGGTTTGATTTAGGACAGTGCCAGGGTTAGTGCTTCAGTGAAGTAAGGGTGAAAGGTCAGGGTCAGTATATTTTGGGCAGGATATTTTTTTTAAAAAGCATTTTTTTCAATTAGTATCAGTGTCAGTATGTTTTAGGTAGGATAAAAAAAAAAAAAAAAAAAAAAGAAAGGACACTATGGTTTTTAGGCCTTAATACAGAGACAAACAACTAAAACATTTAATGTTTGTGGGGTCCACATGCTTGCAATACAGAGAAATTAAAAAAAAAATCTAGCAACCATGTATGGTTTCCTCTTCTCCTCAGCACTCATTCCTGGCAGTTCTGTGTCTTGCACACACACACAACAACAAAAAAACCTATTTCGATGACATCCCATCCTAAGCGAGTAGGTAGTGATTGTCCATCTTCAAAGTATAGCATCTGAGCTGCTCTTTAATTGTCCTTTCCTACCCATTGATTGCCTCTGTAATGTCTTTAAAAGGAACTATAACCCACTTTTAAAAACTGTGAGCAGGCAGGATCTTTATAGCAGAAAAGAAGTGCAGTTTCTTCTACCTTAAAGGAAATGTACTACCTGCCTGCTTGCAGTTGTCTTTGGATTGTACACGGAGCTGCACTAGTGGAGTGCCTGTGTACTTGGATGAATGCACTCCTGTACATGCACAGAAGTGACGTCATCCCATGCCGGGCAATAAAGATGGCTGAAGCCCAGCACCCAGAAATAGCCAGGTAGAAGATGCCTACGCCGCTGAGTGATGTCAGATTGTTGAATGAAACTTGCAGTTTAGTTCCACTTTATTTCAGGCACATTTCCTGCATGTGTGACGCCAACCCTACCACAAGACCCATACCCTCTGGGCCAGATCCTTCAGTGCAAGAAAGTTATGAGAGAGGAGACCCAGGAATTTTCTTGCATCATTTGGTATTTTGCTCAGCCTATGTGATTTCTTTGCTGTGCAGTGTGATATGGACTGCAAACACATGTGACACGCAGCATCTGGTTTATTATCTCATATTCACTATTAGGAAAAGCTGTGGGTATTACGCAGGAAAGACATGATGCCTGCAAAATGCCAACCCCTGTGAGTGTTACTGCAGTGATATGTCGGCTCCACCTCAATCCTCTTACAGACCAAAGCACAGAAAAAAAAAAAAAAAAAAAGCATGCACCCTTTTGTCTCTCTAGCCTTAAAGGAGAAGGTCAGCTTTAAAAAAAATAAAAAAAAAATAAAATGCACATCTTTTTGCGGATAAAAAAAAAATGTGCATTTATTCTTTTATTTATTAGGGGCCTGCAGAGCATTACAGCAGCGACCAGCAGGACTCCTGCACACTGTCAGTGTAAGCGGTTTGCTCGTACCTTGTACTGGCAACAGGCAGTTACACAAGGACAGTAATAGTCAATGAACTACCTAGAGAGCTCGCCAGCACCGATTGAAAACTACAAACCGTCAGCCGCAAAGGCTGACAATAGTTATAGTTCTCCCAGTCACAGAACTCTGTGAATGACTGATGCAGCCAATGCAGCCAGTGGGTGGAGCCCCACACGCCAGCAGGTTTTTTTTTTTTTTTTTTTGTGTGACTGCGGGTGCGGGGAGAAGTTCCCGGACCTGCTGTCACAGGGAGGGGAGAATCTGGGTTGGGAACTGCAGGAGCATGTTACGTGTTCCATCCTAAAAATGGGTGTAACATGTTCCCAAAGGTGAACTTATCCTTTTAAAAGGCAGAAAGCCTAAGATACAGTAAAATAAGGACAGAAAGCTGCACAGAAGGCTGGGAATGGAGTACAAAAATATAGGTTGCTGCATACTAGAGTTCTGTTATAATATACAGTATATATACATTATTTTCTTACCTTCTGCGTACTCATCCAAGCAGTGAGACCAGCATGACAAAACCCATAAACTGTGTAAACAGTATCAGTGGTGTAAAAAAGGACCACACCGGCCATAAGGAAACATTGAAACTGAAATAAAAAACAAAAAGAACTATTCGCGACATTTGCCACAAATGCTGAAAAGTGTAACTACTCATCTAAACAGCCTTTGCCTAAAGCAAAAAGATGGATATTATAGTGAACTGTAATTAGGCTCCAATTGTGATCACATACAAGGTTTTTCAGCTGTAAAGGTTATTACAGTTTATTCTTTTACATATGTCAGTTTATAACTCAACATTTATGTATTTCTGAAAATATAAAACCCTACTTCCTCCAGATATAACAAAAGGCACTATTTATGGCCTCTTGAATTGTAGCCGTGAAACAGGTGTTTTTTATTTATTTAATTTTTTTCACAGATATAAAACACAGGTGCATTGTGGTCAGGGGCCCCCCCCTGACTTCTCCATCACGACCAACAACGCCACCATCAGTCCCACCCTGCAAGCCAGAGTACTAGGTGTCATTCTGGACTCCAACCTATCCTTCCAGCCCCAAGTCCAATCTTTAACAAACTCGTGCAGACTCCACCTCCGCAACATCGCCAAAATCCGCACGTTCCTAACCCCGGAAACCCCTAAACAGCTCATCCACTCCCTCATCATATCACGACTCGACTACTGCAACTCCCTCCTCACTGGCCTGCCTCGCCGCTGGCTATCCCCGCTTCAGTCGATCCTGAATACGTCTGCCAGACTCATTCACCTTTCCAACCACTCCATCTCCGCCACCCCCCTCTGCCAATCCCAACACTGGCTTCCGATTGCGCAACGGATCAAATTCAAAATCCTAACACTGACGTACAAAGCTGTCCACCATACTGCCCCAATATCCATATACCACCCAAAACGTACACTCCGCTCCTCACAAGACCTCCTACTCTCTAGTTACCTGGTCTCCTCCTCCCATGCCCGTCTCCAGGACTTCTCCAGGGCTTCCCCCATCCTCTGGAACTCACTACCCCAATCCCTCAGACTATCACCTACTCTCCTCACCTTTAGGCGCATCCTGAAAACCCACCTCTTCAGGGAAGCCTACCCCGTCCTCAGCTAATTGCTGATCTCCTCCACTCTTCCTACCACTCCATCCCCCACAGCTATTTCCTCCTGTACCACCATCCCCTCCCTCCTAGATTGTAAGCTCCAAGGAGCAGGGCCCTCGAACCCCTCGTGTATTGTATTGTTACTGTACTGTCTCGTGTACTGGCTCCCATTGTAATGTACAGAGCTGAGCAAACTGTTGGTGCTATATAAATACTGTATAATAATAATATTGGACAATGCAAACAGCTGTGTATCCCTAAGATCCCCAACATCCCTAAGAAATTTTAAGTTTGCATGCAGTAATTTACAAATATACACGTCCACGGAAGTACACACCAGCATATCCATGTCAATTTAAACACTGGCAGCTTGCAGAGGATGAAGATGGATTTTTTACAGGTATATATGGACACACATTTTTACATGTCCATGTAGATGTACATGCAAGGTAGTTTTGTAACAACTTGCACGTTTTACTCAAGATCTATCTGCCAGCAAGATCCTGCATATCATGCGTATAAACATCAGTAAATTATTTTGTTTGTGTGCTAGAGGTCTAATCCAGTGTTTGCTTTTATGTTTTATGTACAGCAGCAGCAGGAATTAGAACCAATTATGGCTTAATTGCTCTGCTTACGTACAGAAGGAGAGTACACATGGATGACCTAATCAGCAAACTGGCTAGCTGTAAGCTAGAAGGATTTATGTATTCATAGTTTATTTTCAGGCTAGGGTGCATTCTAAAACCTGCTATATGTAGCAATAACTAATCCTAGTGATGGTAAAGGTTCATTTTTTTTCTTTTTAAAAATAACAAAGATGGTATACTTACCTGCCCTGTACAGTGGTTTTGCAGCCCTGATCGTCTTCTTTCCAGGTCCCCCACCAGCACTCCGGGCTCCTCTCCCTTGACCAGTGACCTTAACAGTAAGCCACTTGCTGGTGCATGCTCGGCCCCGCTGCACGCTCTTTCCTCACTGGCTGTGATTTACAGCAATGGTAGCAATGGCTCCCGTTACTGTGTCTAAGCCAATGAGGAGAGGGAGACCCAGGGCTCCCCTGCACATTGCTGGATCGAGAGGGGACTCAAATAAGTATTGGGGGGGCTGTGGGGGGAGCAGCACACAAAAGGTTTGAATGCATAAAGGTTAAAACACTTCAGCCTTTAGAACCACTTTAACCGCTTTCCCGCGCTGCTCTATAGTAAAACTACTGCTACAGGGTGGCAGGGCTGCGCAAAATCATGTATATATACATGTGATTTGCAAAGAAATGCACAGCAGCATGTCTCACTAGTAAAACACACACAGCACATCATGTAAAACAGCACACAGTTAACCCTTTGATCGCCCAGATGTTAACCCCTTTCTGCCCAGTGTCATTAGTACAGTGTCTTTGCTTTTTATTAGCACTGATCACTGTATTAATGTCATTAGGATGTCAGTGGCAGTTAGTCATCTCCCACCCAGTGTCAGAATGCCTGCCGCAGTCTCACTTTAAGTCGCTGATCGCAGCCATTACTAGTATAAAAAAAATCATAAAAATAAAAAAATTCCAGTATATATACCGCCATTTGTAGACACTATAAAACTTTCATGTAAACCAATTCATTTACACGTATTGGGATTTTTTTTTTAGCAAAGACATGTAGCAGAATACATTTTGGCCTAAATTTATGAAGAAATTAGATTTTTTAAAATGTTTTTACTGGAAATGTTTTATAGAAAAAAAGTAAAAAATATTGGGGTTTTGTTTTCCAAAGTTGCCAGAATTTTTTTTTTTTAGTTTATAGCGCAAAATATAAAAATGCACAAGTGATCAAATACCACCGAAAGAAAGCTCTATTTGTGGGAAAAAAAGGACATACATTTAATTTATGTACAGCATTGCATGACTGCGCAATTGTCAGTTAAAGTACGGCAGCGCCGTATTGCAAAAATTGGCCTTGTCAGGAAGGGGGGTGGGAGTTAAACCCTCTGTAGGGCAAGTGGTTAAGTAATACATATGCATAGAAACTCACCATACTGCAGCTACTAGGAAAGTTAGAATTGCAACAGGTACAAGCCCCGGATACTTGGCATCATAATCACAAATCCCACGATACCATTCCAAATAAATGATGCAATAGAGAGCAATGGACATACTGACAGCCAGAGACACTGTGCCCACCAGAAGCCATGTACTACAAGACAAAGGACAGTTATTATTCAATTGAAGATATGTAAAAAACATTTTAAAGATCTAATTCACAAATGTCTTCCTGCAGAGTAAGACAGCATTTCTATGTTCAAGTGAGGCCTTCTTCATTAGTTGCCATTAGCTCTTTATGTGGATACTGTGAGATGCTAAAACCTCTCTAAAACCTTTCAATTACACAAAGATTTTCTTACATAAAAGTTGTATCCTTCACACTTTGAAATTGGTTTTATGTAATTTCTACAGTATATTGTAAGTACAGAAACATTTTATATATTTTGTGTTATAATTTTGCTTGTATAAAATTCTTATTTTACAAATATTTATTACAGATTGCCTGCATTCTTTAGTGTATCCCTTGCAAGTAATAAGAAAACCCCGTACTAGCCAAGCAGCTGCACTCTGCTCTGTGAGCACAACTCCAGCCAAAACCTTATTTTCTTTTTAGTTGTGAATTGAGTGGGGAAAGGTTAGGACTTATGTCCACTTTAAAAACAGCAATAAAGTCTATATAATAAAGGGAAAAAAAAAAAAAAAAAAAAAACAGGCCCCCCCCCCCCCCCCCCCCCAGTAAGTTTACGTCATAATGTACTAGTATGTACTGCATACTGGTACATTATGACAGAAATCAAGTGATATTAATACTTGTGAGCTAATATGGTGAAATATAAGTGATCAGTTAATCAAATAATATACTAATACATGCACATGTGGTTCGCTAGCTCCTTACACCAACTCATAAATAGTGCCACAGCATACAAAATAAAAATTCTATTAGTAATGAATAATAATATTTAGTGCTGCACTCCCGTGCTAAATTAATTATATAAAAAAACTTGCAACAGTGATTATCAGTTCATAATCAAACTATATACTCAAAAACATATTAAAATAACAAAAACAATATAATAGCCTTGATGCAAACAATTTCTGTGTTAAATGAACAGTCCTCTTGATAAATCCAAAAACTCGTGTCACCAAATGAGAAAAAACACAGATGAATATTAATATATATTGCGCTCACCTCCAATTTTTGCCTAATATATAAATAGGCAAAAAACACTTTTTGTCCTGACAGGACAGGGGAGGGGCTCTGAAGTCACCACGTTCTGTCGGCCAGCTAACGGCGAGTATTGTTAGTGTGTTTACACATTGCTTTTACACCTATATAGGATGTAAAAGCAATCATTTCTCTCTTTCTGTGTGCATTCATGCACTCATTGAGAAGTACTGACTGAGCTGTGATTGATCACAGCTTGTCACATGGTACAAGCCTGTTGTGAATAGGCTTGTACCATGTGACCTCTGTGATCATTCACAGATATCACACGTAGTAAGCAATGATGTCACAAGTGACATCTTGCTTACTACTTTGCATGTGATCACTGATTGGCCAATCAGTGATCACATGATCGGGACCTCGTACAGAGGTCCCGTCCGACGATCGGTGTTTCACTGTGTCCGGAGGACACAGCGGGCACCGGATCGCGGTGCTGCGCGCTCCCAGGGACAGCGCACAAGCAGGGTGCGGGGAGGCCGTTTATAGACGGCCACCCGACCCTGCACTGCCACCGTCCGGCCGTTTATATGCAACGGCCGGTCGGGAAGTGGTTAAGTCTGCTCAAGCTCGGACCTGTCACCCAACATAACCCTGTCTTGAGGAAGGTGCAAGCCCCTGAAAAGCATTGCTTTGTATTGCTAAATATTCACTAAAGTCTTTTTCTGGACTCTGTCACCACTGATGTGCTACCCTAGCTGCATTCTGCATATCTGAATCTTCCACAAGCCCTCCTTTTCAGGGATACTCCTTGCTTGGTGGGAGCAGCCTCATCAAATCAATTATGCTGAATAATAAAGGAAATGGCTGTTCATTATGATGGACATTAATGGTAGGAGATCTAGTGCCTCTCATATATGTATTTCTTTTTTAAAACTGTGCTCTGTGTCCCTGTCTGGGAGATTTCCCCTATCTATTTGAAAAATGTAAGACAGAAGGGAGGGTAAATCTCCCTGACGAGGTCAGACGTCAGTACATTTTTTCCACCAGAGTCGGGAATAGTTAGAAATGGGTATCAGAGAGAAGAGGAAGTAAGGGGAAATCTTCAGTTCAAAACTTTTAGAGGTTGTAGCCCTTCCCTACTCTATGCAAAACTAAAAAGAAGATCTAGACTGCACTCTTTATGAGAGGAGGAGGCAGTGCCTCTCCTTATGCCTAACCTAAAGTGTTACTAAATCCACAGCAGTAAAATCGCTCTGTATATACAGTAAAGCATGCTTGCTATACCGACGGTGGAAATTAAGGGGTTAATCCTCTACACTGTGTAAAAATGCGGTTTGATCCTAACTTCTCTGATCCCCCCCTTCTTCCACTGTCCCCAACTAATCTCCTGATAGAACAGAGCCTTGGGAGTAAGCTGCACATGCTCAGTTTGGTGTGTATCGCTAGAGTGTTTTGTTGGGTTTTGTTTTCTTGGGAGGGTGCATGTGATCAGCACAGGGCCAATCAGCACTGTCCAGACAAGAGGGTCAGGGGTCCTGTAGCCTCATAGGACAATCAGAGGAGAATGAAAACTACTCCAAAAAGCTTTAATCAATGCTCTGCTGGACACTGATAGAAGTCACAAGACTGCTCTAACTGCTGATGAGAAAAGGTATTTAGCAGTTTATATTTACTAAAATAATTGCATTTCCATGTGTGTACTGTGGGAGACCAGATATAGTGAATGCAGGGTCTGGGGTTTAGTAACACTTTAAGGTCCGGGTTTAGATCCTGGTATTTGTGTCTGAAGAACACAGCAGTAAATCAGGGATATGAGACCCTGTAGTACCAGAAATGCATGTATTGCCAGATGCAAAAGGCTAAATTATTTTAATACGCATAGCATAGTACATGACTTTCCTTGTTGTTTAATCCAAATATTCATTTTTATCACCAACACATAACAGAAATAGACAGGCATGATATATATAGATAGAGATTATATATATATATATATATATATATATATATATGAATGAGAGAGAGAGAGAGCGCACGCTGCACACACTCACCCATCCTTCTTGTAAGTTTAGTAGGACAACCGGCAGGAAGTCAACGTAGTGTGTGACAGCAACTGCCGCCAATATCCAAAACGCTGAATGGATGTTTACTCTAGGAAGAGGCTTTTGTTTTTTCCTTTCATCTTCATCACCATCTATAAATTAAACAAATAAAAACCACAATCTTTTGATTAAAAAAAATCTAAAAATTTTTAGTACAACCCAACAGCATCCCTACAGTGTAAATTTCAATTTGTGCTTCTCAGTTTCATTAAATTGGTTGTAAACCTCAGACATGGAAAATTAACAAAGTATATCCCTTTATAGTGTGTACCATGAATCACTTCTGGAAGGTTTTCCTGACACCAAGAGAAAAATGGTGACAGAGGAGGGACCTCCAGCAGATTGACAGCCTCAGCTCTGTCCCTGTGAGCTGTGTGAAGGGTGTGTGTCTCTTCCCATCATTCAACTTTCAGAGCTCCCCTCACAGAGCTATGCAGAGTGTAACGTCAGCACTCCGCCCCCTTTTTTCTGAACTCTGACAAACTTTATAGAGAAGAGAAGACTGCAGATAGACAGGTACAACTTTTGTAGGAGGATTTTTTTCACCTCTGTGTATTACCCGAGGCCAGTCACTTCACTGGGTTTACTGTATATAAGGGTTGACAACCACTTTAAATAAAAGGCAATGAGCAGCCAATGCAGGTGAGTGACTGTATTACAGAATATGCCCAAATCAATGGTTCTCCTGAACTTTACCCCTGAAAATAAAACAAACAATCCACATACAGTCAGGTCCATAAATATTGGGACATCAACACAATTCTAACATTTTTGGCTCTATACACCACCACAATGGATTTGAAATTAAACGAACAAGATGTGCTTTAAGTGCAGACTGTCAGCATTAATTTGAGGGTATTTACATCCAAATCAGGTGAACGGTGTAGGAATTACAACAGTTTGCATATGTGCTTATCACTTGTTAAGGGATCAAAAGTAATGGGACAGAATAATAATCATAAATCAAACTTTCACTTTTTAATACTTGGTTGCAAATTCTTTGCAGTCAATTACAGCCTGAAGTCTGGAACGCATAGACATCACCAGACGCTGGGTTTCATCCCTGGTGATGCTCTGCCAGGCCTCTACTGCAACTCTCTTCAGTTTCCTGCTTGTTCTTGGGGCATTTTCCCTTCAGTTTTGTCTTCAGCAAGTGAAATGCATGCTCAGTCGGATTCAGGTCAGGTGATTGACTTGGCCATTGCATAACATTCCACTTCTTTCCCTTAAAAAAACTCTTTGGTTGCTTTTGCAGTCTGCTTTGGGTCATTGTCCATCCGCACTGTGAAGCGGCGTCCAATGAGTTCTGAAGCATTTGGCTGAATATGAGCAGATAATATTGCCTGAAACACTTCAGAATTCATCCTGCTGCTTTTGTCAGCAGTCACATCATCAATAAATACAAGAGAAGCCAGTTCCATTGGCAGCCATACATGCCCACGCCATGACACTACCACCACCATGCTTCACTGATGAGGTGGTATGCTTAGGATCATGAGCAGTTCCTTTCCTCCTCCATACTCTTCTCTTCCCATCACTCTGGTACAAGTTGATCTTGGTCTCATCTGGCCATAGGATGTTGTTCCAGAACTGTGAAGGCTTTTTAAGATGTCGTTTGGCAAACTCTAATCTGGCCTTCCTGTTTTTGAGGCTCACCAATGGTTTACATCTTGTGGTGAACCCTCTGTATTCACTCTGGTGAAGTCTTCTCTTGATTGTTGACTTTGACACACATACACCTACCTCCTGGAGAGTGTTCTTGATCTGGCCAACTGTTGTGAAGGGTGTTTTCTTCACCAGGGAAAGAATTCTTTGGTCATCCACCACAGTTGTTTTCCGTGGTCTTCCAGGTCTTTTGGTGTTGCTGAGCTCACCGGTGCGTTCCTTCTTTTTAAGAATGTTCCAAACAGTTGTTTTGGCCAAGCCTAATGTTTTTGCTATCTCTCTGATGGGTTTGTTTTGTTTTTTCAGCCTAATGATGGCTTGCTTCACTGATAGTGACAGCTCTTTGGATCTCATCTTGAGAGTTGACAGCAACAGATTCCAAATGCAAATAGCACACTTGAAATGAACTCTGGACCTTTTATCTGCTTATTGTAATTGGGATAATAAGGGAATGACACACACCTGGCCATGGAACAGCTGAGAAGCCAATTGCCCCATTACTTTTGGTCCCTTAACAAGTGGGAGGCACATATGCAAACTGTTGTAATTCCTACACCGTTCACCTGATTTGGATGTAAATACCCTCAAATTAAAGCTGACAGTCTGCAATTAAAGCACATCTTGTTCGTTTCATTTCAAATCCATTGTGGTGGTGTATAGAGCCAAAAATGTTAGAATTGTGTCGATGTCCCAATATTTATGGACCGGACTGTACTAATGCAACATTATGTTTACACAGGAGCAGATACAAGAAACAGCCTCCACATTCTGGAGATATTCAGAAGCCAACTAAACAAGTCTGAGGAGCAACCAAGAGGCTACCAATAGCGCTGAAGCAGTTGCCGATATCCAAAGTTAATATGGGAGAAAGCATCCATGGGACAGGTAAAACCTGAGCACAGCACGTACCAAGCTTTTGTGGAAGAATGATGAGAAGAAACCCACTTCTGAAAAACAGTCTAGACAAACTCCAAATGTGGATTTGATATAAGTCATTTGGCACAGCAGATATGTGCAGACGTGATCTGGTCCAAGACCAAAACTGAACTCCTTGGACTTTATCTGCGTTAAGAGCTTTTATGTCAGCTGCCATCGCTAGCCTCCTAAAAACGCAAGTTTAGTAACAATACAATTAAGCAGGCCATACATGGATTGAAATTTGGCAGGTTCAGTAGGGACCAGCCAACTTTCAATCCATGTATGGTCTAGGTGGTTGTACACAAGTTAATCAAATAAACATTTGTTTTGAAATACATATTTGTATCAAGTTTTAAAACACTTTGTTGCTATTATTTATTTTTAATCTCTATTTGGAAAGCCTTTTTTTTATATCATGTGACTGGCACAGCACTAGATCAGTGTTCTCCAAACTGTGGCTGTTTGCTAACCTTTATCCATCCCTTTTGGCACTATTCCTAACACTGACACCAAAAGTGGGGCTTAGTTCCCCAAATGACACCAATGATGGGGCAGGGTCCCTCCCCTTAATGTCAATGATGGGGCATTATTCATCTTCAAACACCAATGATGGGCCAATATTCCTTCTAGTAATGGCGCTGATGGGGCATTACTCCTCCCATTGACACAAATGATAGGCCAATATTCCTTCCACTGATAGCAAGGATGGGGCACTATTCCATCCACAAACACCAATGATGGGCCAATATTCCTTCTAATAATAGCACTGATGGGGCATTACTCCTCCCATTGACACCAATGTTGGGCCAATATTCCTTCCACTGATAGCAAAGATGGGGCACTGTTCCATCCACAAACACCAAGGATGGGCCAGCATACTTTCCACAGATAGTAATGATGGAGCACTACTCCTCCCACTGACACCGATGATGAGCCAATAATCAATTCCACCGATAGCAGTGATGGGCCAATATTCCTTCCACTGACAGCAATGATGGGGCACTACTCCTCCTCCTACTAACCACAGGCACTATGCGACTGAACACCACACCTAAGACCTTGTTTACGCTCACTGATGCTGGGCCTGAGACTTTTTGTACCCAGACTGGCCACAATCCAGCCCCCCTAAAGTCTGAAGGACCATAAACTGGCCCTTCGTTTGGAAACCCCTGCACTAGAAACCTCCTAAGAACTTTCTTTGAGCACAGGTAAAACCTGGGAAATGCCATGTGACCTCTGAACAGCAATGATTAAAGGTAATCAGATGATTGTTTTATATTAAATAGAATGGAATGACCCCTATATATAATTAGAAGGAATGATAGCAATTACACATTGAACGTATCACTTTAAGTGACTTTTCCTCTACTCTGCTTCCCTGAGCCATATAACCCACATGACATCACAGGGATGGAGATGTTCTGCAGAAAGGAACAGGCCACAACTCCCAGATGGCAGACAGGTGCTATGACATCACTAACACAGGATCACCAAATGAATCAATCCTGTATTACTGGCATCATTTGTTTTGATAGAAACCAAACTAAAAATGCAGGTTTTTGTTTTTTGTTTTAACCCTGTGGGGTTACATGTAAGTGGGCTTGTTTGGTGGCACCACATGTAAGCAGTATGTTATTGTACTGGGGTTGCAGAATTCCATCTGACCCAGAAGGAAAATTGGATCCCCTTCTGTCCATTTTTTGCGGGTCGGATCAGATTGGATGACAGCAGGTGTAAACGGACACATCTGTTTACACCCACCACTCCGTAGAGGAGAATGGAGGTTTCCGATCAGGACCGCCTGTCTGTTTCCATCTGACCCGATCTGACAGACGGAAGAGGAATTGGATCCTCATTCGTCCCTTTTTTGCGAGTTGGATCAGATTGGATGTCGGCAGGTGTAAACAGACACACATTTATTTACACCCACCGCCCCATAGAGGAGAATTGAGGTTCTGATCAGGACTGCCTGTCTATTTCCATCCGATCCAGTCCTAGAGATGGAAGGGAAACTTGATCCCCATCCATCCCTTGTTTGCAGGTCGGGTCGGATTGAATTGAATGTTGGCAGGTGTAAACGACATGTCCGTTTACACCTGCCACTCCATAGAGGAGAATATAGGTTCTGATCAGGACCACCTGTCAATTCCATCCGACCCAATCTGACTGACGGAAGGGGAACTGGATCCCCATCAGGCCCTTTCTTGCAGATCGGATCCCAATGGATGTAGGTGGGTGTACACGGACACATATGGTTACACCCGCTGCTCCATAGAGAATGGAGGTTCTGATCAGGACCACCTCTCCATTTCCATCCGACGTAATCTGACGAACAGAAGGTGAATTGGATCCCCATCTGTCCCTTTTTTCGGATCGGATTGGATGTCGGATGTAAACAGACATCCGTTTACACCTGCTGCCCATAGAGGAGAATGGAGGTTCCAATCAGGACCACCTATCCATTTCCATCCGACCCGATCAGACAGACGGAAGGGGAATTGGGATCCTCATCTGGCCCTTTTTTGTGGATCGGACGCCGGGTGTAAACGGACACATGTCTGTTTACACCCACCACTCCATAGAGGAGAATGGAGGTTCCTATCGAGTCCACCTGACAAACAGGCAGAAATGTCCATGTGAAAGAGACCTTACACGGAGACTTTACCCAGACTGCAATGTAATGCAGCAATATAGAGGAGAACAGGTTCTCTTTAATTCTAACAGACACATATCTGCAGGAACCTCCCCATCGCAGTAATTACAGAACTGGCAGGGTGTCAGCCATGCTCCTAACTCTGAGCCGTGCCCCCAGCAGTGTCACAGCCCCGACCGAAGGGGTACACACCGGCCTCTGCCACCTCGGCCTCCCTCAGGAAGGACTCAGCCTGCTGCTCAAACCGGCGCCGCACATTCTGAAGATTCCTGTCCTCCAACAAGGCCGCCATCTTTTGGGGCGTAAGTTCCCCGGAAGTGACGCGTGGGTGAGCCCGGCGAGGGTCCCCATGGAAACCAGACGCTGGAGCGGTGGGAGGAGCTTTCTGTGCTGTGTACAGGTGTCAGAGGGCGTGGGACGGTGATCAGAGGCGAGGGAGTCACTGATCGTCCCAATTACAGGACATCTATGGCAGCTGACTCCACATGGAACCATCTATAGTGGATTCATCGGACTCCTGACTATGAGCATGTCAGGGATACAGTTATCATAATGGCTGAACACTGCTGAGATAAAACCAACACCTATAGACTTTGGATGGCTGCTGTTGGAAATCACGGGCCCCATGCAGCGTGGATTCTGTGCTCACCTATGTGCGGCGCCTGCTATCCTGCTGCTTTTTATTTCCTGCCCTTCCAGCATTTCCATATTTCCTGGCCTGCCTCCAGTTTACTTCCCTATATAAGACATGCTCAGCGCAGTCTGTGTTGCCTGAGCATCTTCCCAGTTTTCTGATGGGTGTTTCCCAGTTCTCCTGGGTGCCTATTATTTGTAGTCAGCGTCTGACCACCTGTGTGCTGATCCTGGCTTTGTCTACCTCTTGTGAGCAGATCCTGGCTTTGTCTATCGCCTGTGCGCTGATCCAGGCTTTGTCTGCCGCCTGTGCGCCCATCCAGGCTTTGTCTGCCGCCTGCGCGCCCATCCTGGCTTTGTCTGCCGCCTGCGCGCCCATCCTGGCTTTGTCTGCCGCCTGCGCGCCCATCCTGGCTTTGTCTGCCGCCTGCGCGCCCATCCTGGCTTTGTCTGCCGCCTGCGCGCCCATCCTGGCTTTGTCTGCCGCCTGCGCGCCCATCCTGGCTTTGTCTGCCGCCTGCGCGCCCATCCTGGCTTTGTCTGCCGCCTGCGCGCCCATCCTGGCTTTGTCTGCCGCCTGCGCGCCGATCCTGGCTTTGTCTGCCGCCTGCGCGCCCATCCTGGCTTTGTCTGCCGCCTGTGCGTCGATCCTGGCTTTGTCTGCCTCCTGTGCGTCGATCCTGGCTTTGTCTGCCGCCTGTGTGCCGATCCTGGCGTTGTCTACCGCCTGTGTGCCGATCCTGGCGTTGTCTACCGCCTGTGTGCCGATCCTGGCGTTGTCTACCGCCTGTGTGCCGATCCTGGCGTTGTCTACGCCTGTGTGCCGATCCTGGCTTTGTCTACTGCCTGTGTGCCGATCCTGGCTTTGTCTACCTCCTTGTGCGCCGATCCTGGCTTTGTCTACCTCTTGTGCGCCGATCCTGGCTTTGTCTACCTCTTGTGCGCCGATCCTGGCTTTGTCTACCTCTTGTGCGCCGATCCTGGCTTTGTCTACCTCTTGTGCGCCGATCCTGGCTTTGTCTACCGCCCTGTGCGCCGATCCTGGCTTTGTCTACCGCCTGTGCGCCGATCCTGGCTTTGTCTACCGCCTGTGTGCCGATCCTGGCTTTGTCAACCTCTTGTGCGCCGATCCTGGCTTTGTCTACCTCTTGTGCGCCGATCCTGGCTTTGTCTACCTCTTGTGCGCCGATCCTGGCTTTGTCTACCTCTTGTGCGCCGATCCTGGCTTTGTCTACCGCCTGTGCGCCGATCCTGGCTTTGTCTACCGCCTGTGCGCCGATCCTGGCTTTGTCTACCGCCTGTGTGCCGATCCTGGCTTTGTCAACCGCTTGTGCTTATCCGCAGCCTGTCCTGGCTCAGCTTGTTTCATGGATTTCCCTCTCTCTTCTGCCATTTCATGATCTCCCAGTTCTTAGCTAGGTGTACCTGGGGGCCACAACCTGATTTCAACTTGCTGCAAATTCATCCCCACCATTAGGGGCCCTGATGAAGAAGCAGGCTGGGGCTGAAACTCAGCCGCTGGGGATCTCCAAGGGCTCACTACCACAGACACCTGACACTGGTCTAGGCATTGACCCAAGAAGTCCACTCACCAGTATTACACTTCTGGGATGTGGATAGTCAAGCGAGCCAGAACACTGCCTTTAAGGCTGGATTCACACTTGAGCATAGCATTTTTGCACTTTTTTTTTTACACACTTTTTGTACTTTTAGATGCATTTTCATGCAGTGTTTTTTAGGCGTTTTTGAGCTGTGGCATTTTTTATTAGCCAATAGAGAAAAATATCATTTGTTGCTAGGTTTGTCCGCTTTTTTAGCTTTTCCATCAGCTTTTAATTTTTTTTTTTTTTTTTTTTTATTCATGTATTATCTTTTCTTGTTAGGGTAGGAGGTTAGAGTTAAGGTTAGGGATTAATATTTAATTTATTGTCTACTGATTATTTATTTTTTGTAAGGGTTAGGGTTTAATAATACTACTAATAAGCGAATAAATAAATGTAAAATAAATACACAAATAAAAATAATCATAAATAAAGGAATAATATATAAAAATTTACCCCTAACCTTAACCCCCTAACCCTTAAAAATTTATAAATAATATAATTTAATAATTTGTAATAATAATAAAAAAAACACCCTAACACAAAATAAATTAATATTATTTTTTTTTTTTGATTCAGGTTTGGTTGTTTATGTATGACAATAATATTAATAAAATAATAATTATTTAATTTTTTAATAGGGTTGGGTTAAGGTTAGAAGCTAATTATTATTTATGTATTTATTTATTACATGTTATTTTTATTATTTATTTATAATTATTTTTATTAATTTATGTATTTATTTTATATGTACTTATTCATATATTACTACTAATTTATTTTTTTTTTACATTTTTTAATTTGAGCGGAAAAACACGCTGATACGCGTAAATCACGCATTTACATTCATTTCTATGGAACTAAGAATGCTCAAAAACATTCATATGTGCCTGATTTGAACAACAACAAAAGCTCCAGAACCTGTTTGCGCTTCAGGCATTTGACTTCAGGCGACTTGAAGTGGAGAACCATCTCCATTGAGAATAATTGATTTTTTTTTCTACTCAAGCGTTATGGAGCTTTGACCTACAAACCGCTCAAGTGTGAATGGGGCCTAATGCTGGGATATGTTCCTGATATTCATTAGAATTGAAGAAGCAGCTTGGATATGCTATAACACTTCTTCAACATTACAGAGTCAGTCTATTGTAATGTGACTAAATACTAACTACGCATGGTAATCTATTTGATTTATTTTAGATGGATATCTCTGGTTTAACAAAAAAAAAGTCATTCGATCACATCCAAACAAACCAATTCATTTTAATGGTAATTCATTTGCAATGGTAACTATTTTATTTGAATCTGTGGCTAAAATTTGACTGAAAGGCTGAACCCAGTCCATAAATATTTGTAAGTTTCAATCTGTAGGCAAATCTTATTTTACCTGATTTTATTTCTGCAATTTAGGAATAATGCAATCATCCCTATGTACATTTATGGTCTGCTTAAAATATAGGAAATTGTGCCCATAGGAGGAGGAAACAGGAGGTGGTGCTATGATGACTCTGTAGTAGAGATGTGCACAGCGGAAACATTTGTTTCGTTTTAGATTCATTTTGTTAAGTTAATCATTTTGTTTCATTATGTTAGATCAATTAATTTTCTGAATTTGTTTTGTATATGTAGCACTACCCCCTTTAGGAGTCGCTAAAGATTTGGGTCCCCCTATAGTTCTGCACAGCCAGCCAACACGCATTTCCTTTGAGACAGTAAACAGTCCTTGAACTTTGTTTTTTTTTTTTTTTTTGGGATTTCATTAGGGGATAATAACTTGGATGGGGTTAAGGGATACATGGGATGCCCAAGGAACTGTAAAATTGAGGACAAACTCCTTAGCAACTTTGTACAAGTCCATAGAAGGATTTCTCTTCTTGGAGAGCTATCCAGCCTCTCCTGGTGTACCACCCAAAACCCCAAATAGTCCATCTCTATCCAGCAATCTGAGTCCTTTCCTGGGATAAAGGATTCCATTAACTGCCACCTCAAGAGCACAGTAAGGGCTAGTAAGGTTTCCCACCCAAATGCCCTCTCCCTTCTCTCCGGTGTAGGGGGTGTAGAAGTACTCACTGTTCCCTTCCTGCAAGCTCGAGGTTAGTAGCTTCCTTCAGGCCTTTCGCTGGGCTAGCTCCTTCCCTAACTCCACAGATGGTCCTCTCCCAGGAAGCCAGTGAGGTTCAGCTTTCCTCCTGTCCAGATCCCACCTGGAGGCAGGCTCCCTCCCAATGGGCCCCCTCCCAGGCTCCACATTCGCCTCCTGCTCTTATCTTCCACCCAAACTCTCCCTTCTTCTCCCCCTAGCTGAGCATGCTCAGTCACTCTTAAGGGCTGTCCTGGCCCCAAGCCAAGCCTTCTGTTGGGGATTGGCCAGGATCCTTTTACACAGTGCAAACCAGACACGCCTCACTCTCTCCCACTGCTTCTAGAACTTTCTCCAAAGCTCTAGTGCAGGGAGAAATCCTAAAGTGCTGATCTGCAGAGCCTCTCAGATCCTTACTGAAATTGTACCTCTTAGACTAACTCAGCCTCTGACTAACAATTAGAACTCTAGCTCCCCCTAGCAATCTAGGAAGGTGCTACATATGTTCAGATTTGTTTCATATATTATTTTTCAAATCTATTTCAGTTTCGAATTTCAGAAGATGACTATATTCATTCTGTTTAATGCTTTTCTATTCTATTATTTTCTATTCTACTTTATTCTATTATTTTATTTTCTATTCTATTATTTTATTTCCTATTCTATTAGATTCTATTATTTTCTACACTGCTCATAAAAATTAAAGGAACACATTTTAATCAGAGTACAGCATCAAGTCAATTAAACTCCTGGGATATTTATCTGATCAGTTAAGTAGCAGAGGGGGTTGTTAATCAGTTTCAGCTGCTTTGTTGTTAATGAAATTAACTACAGGTGAACTAGATGGGTAACAATGAGATGACTCCCATAACAGGAATGGTGTACAGGTGGAGGCCACTGACATTTGTTTCCCTACTCATCTTTCTGACTGATTTTCACTAGTTTTGCATTTGGCTAGGGTCAGTGTCACTACTGGTTGCATGAGGCAATACCTGGACCCTACAGAGGTTGCACAGACAGTCCAACTCCTCCAGGAAGGCACATCAATACGTGTCATAACCAGAA